CTAGCTTTTATACATATGCTAGTAACAAATTAGTGCGGGAATTATTTAAAAACGGGAATTTTTTTTAAATTCATATGTCAAGGTCACATAAACAGGTTAACTCTACTTCCCTTGCCCCATACACCGTCAGGTTCGAAAATGGAACTTTTTTTGTTATATTGACACTGCTGATCAATGAATCAAACGATCGATAGGTCACCAACTATAACAGTATTGATCTATCCAGCGACCCTACACCCACCTAATGTACCTAACTTAAAGTTGCTGATATTTAATCTTTCATTAGCCTAGTTTATTTATTTCTTAAATCAATAAATCCCCCATTGCCCACCCTAACTTTGAAAATGGCTGACGTTAAAACAAAGTGTTCTACACGCCTTATTAATTTAAAAAAAAAAATTCCCGTTTACATTTTCTGTTTTGGGAAAACGTATTTATTTCAGGGCTAAATTTTACAAATATTGAATCACTAACATAACATGTAGACTAAATTAAATAAAAGGCCTGAGTGTGGCAGAAGAATAAAATAATTTAGTCTCTTTATCACAGGATTTAGTTTAAACCTTGAAATAAACTTCTATTTTTATCGATCTGTCTGTCATTCTGCCTGCTTCTCTTATCTAATCTATCAATCTTATCTAATATATAACACATATGTATATATATAAGAAATATATATATCTATATCTATATCTATATCTATATATATATATATATATTATATCTAAAAATATATCTATCTATCTATTAGTCAATCCGCCTATTCATCTGTCTATCTATCCATCTGCCCATCTAATGAATTTATCTATCTGAATGTCTATCTTTGATCTAGCTAGCCATCAAGATACCAATAATATAATGGTAGTCAGTATAAGAGCTGCAGTAAGACAGCTTATATTGATTACATCTTGACAGATTACAATAAACACAAAACAAAGCTCGCTATGACAGTTTTCTTTAAAGAAAAAATAAAAACTTTAATTTTTATTACATTTAATTTGGTTTTGGTGGAACAAAACTGGAAAAGGAAAATCACACATGTCCCTGGTTGCAGAAAACAACTCATTAAAAATCAGTAAAAATTTACACTATATACTAAGGAAATAAAAGGCAAAATAATGCTGCATTTTATATATAGGATATAACAAAAAAAAAAAAACCTAATACAAAATTAAAGCTGTTTAACAAGTAAAGATTTATAATTATGACACCATCAAAAGCTGTTTTACAAGTGAAGGATTATAATTCTTTTACAAGCAAAAAATTCAAATGAAATTTACTTCAAGTTCTATAGAACTGCTAGTAAAAAAATACACATTTTTTTCTAAAGGGAAAATTTCATTTACTAGATGGACATTAAAAGTAGAAAACTGACAGATGTTTTATGTTTTTCTCAAGATTTGTGACATAAACATTCGGCCTATGAAAACAACACATTTTATGATATCTCTTTGACAACTACATTACTTATCTATTTAAAAAGCAATTTTTTCATGAAATTTAAGATGGCTGTATTAACTGTTTTTTTTTACAATGTAATATTTTGAGACATATTTGATTACATATTTGATTACATCTGTGACACTTATTTGAGCTCACTATGTCAGTCTTACATATTTGATTACACTGTTGTGACAATAGCTGTCAATTTAACTGACAAATGTTAGTAGACATGGTATAGTAATGACAAGTACATACATTTTTACTACACAAACAAAATACTAGATCACATTTTTTAATAGCTACATTATATTTTGTTGTCTGTTCACAAAATGGATGACATTAACCCTGATAATTAGGAAGATTTATTTCAATCACAAATAATCCATGACAAAATAACATTCTAGTTATAAAACATAAGTTGTAAGCAGCAGATAAAGTAGTTAAAAACTAGAACACAAGCAAAGAAGTTTTGTGTGTATCAAGCTAAATGGTGATCATTGTATAATGGAACTGTTTGCCTATTAATTAGACTGCTCATTTTTCTTTGAATAGAGAGCCATTTTATTTTTGTGTCTGTTAAATATAAGGGTTTCACTGGTTTTGTTTTTAAACCTTAAAATTAATAGCTTTTAAAAATTTAACAGGTTAAAAATCTACTGCAAGAATGTCTATTTGAAATGTTTGGCTAGAGAATTAGAATACACATTGTGGCATAAAAGGCAAAAATTGTTAAAATATTATCCTAGAGAGCAGCATTGAGTGTATTGATGTAGCCTTAAACGTTCTTTAAAACATTAAAAAAATATGCTACACATTTACATTTAAAAAGTTGGTGAATGATTGTCATGTAAGTTTTTGGTTAGAGCATTCAACTGCAGGAATAGAGGGGCACAATATTTTTTTTAAGAAGAAGAACCTAGTCATGATTTAGTTTTCAAAGTTTTAAACAGGGTGATAAAGAATACAATGGCTTCCCTAACATAATTTATCTACTATTAGGTAAATGTGTTGTTTGCACAAAATCATAGATTCACATGATTCGACAGCATAGAACTAATAACAAGCATCATTCATTTAAAATAGAAATATAATTTATTTTCACCACACATGAGCTTATGTTGTGTATTTTAAAATTAACACAAGTCACATTAATAAATCAAGTTACAGAAAATTAAGTCGCCAGAAAGGTTAAAATTAGTAGAGTATGGCTGGAAGCTAAAAATAACCTGATAAAGTTTGAAGTTGAACCCAAACAGTGTAAGCAGCTGAAGCATGAATAACACAAACACAAACATACAAATGTTCATAAGCTATGGAGGGGGGGGGGTGTGGTGGTTGTGGTGAAAGGTAGTCTGAAAGAGATTTGTTTACGTTTCAGAATACCAACTGATTTATACTTGCATTACGTCTATTATATGTATACTATACATGTTATAGGTATATGGAACATCTTCAGAGTCGCTGGACACAAAACAACACCCCTTTTTGTGCTCTGGACTAAGGTTTATGCTCAAGCAAAAACACTAGACGTGTTCTGAATTTTCAAATGAGTACACATGTGAATATAAAGTATACATGTCGCACATGTAAAATGTGAAGTTACACATGACTGAATCTATGTCACACAACAACAGTCCCTAATTCATGTTAAGCGGCAATCACAGCTTTACTCTCATATTCTATTTTTAGTTGTTTTTGTCTACATCTGAAGTTAAAATTTTTTTTTTTAATTTATGTTATTCATTACAATAGAATTGAATGAAATTTCCTGTTGATGATGAGTAGACCTAATAGAATCTTAAAATATCAAATAAAGATATACAGTAATGCTTTTCATGCCACATGAGATTGTAAATTCTTACAGATAAAATGGATCAAAGCTAATACATAGTACTAAGGTAATGCGGATTTTTAAACTTTATATTTCTATAGCTTTTGGATAAAAAGAAATACTAGCATATCATTTCATGCATTTTAAGTACAAACTAGATAAACAGCTTTATTGGTATTTTGCTAATATAAAGAAATTTACAGAGGATTTTTCCAGCTTATGAACAAATATAAAATATGAGTTTTGCTAGGCAAGTACGAAATATGATTAGAACTGGATTAATAAAAATCATGAAATATTTCATTAGCAGTGGTGTTAAAATTAATTATGGTTTTGTAAGCACTTTAATATAGCATAGTTTGACAATCAGGTGGGAATGATTAAAGTAACAAAACAACAAGCAAAAAGGCAAAAGTAGCAAAAACGTGTCAGAAATAATTACACCAAAAAACAGTTGAGTTATTGTTTGAACTGATTTAAAGTATGGCAGTGCTGTTTTTAACAATAAATACATATATGTGACATACAACAGCAAGTTTAACACAAATTTAAAATTTATATCTAAAAATGACTTTCTAAAATGCAACTAACATTACAAATGAAATTATTTTTACAAGAAAGTCTAAAAATCTTTAGTAAAACTACTGAAACTACATATGGCCAATATTAACAGTAATTAAAAGTAATAAATTAATTAACACATTTAGCCTAACAAAATTAGTTCTGTTTCAACTGGCAGAGCAAAAAGGCAGTTAAAAATACATGACATTCTTAAAATGCTTCAATAATGCACTCGAGACTAATGTTTTCAATCATGTTGGCTAAGAGTTAAAAAACAGAATAATTGATAAATGTGTTTAAAAAAATTAAATAGATGAATTAATAAAGCAGCTTTTACCTGCTTTTAGTTTAGGCATATTGCATATTTCACACCAAATAGATTTCCAAAGTTTTAAATATAAAATGTTTTACAAAAAATTGTTAGCAAAAGAGTTGAAAATTATGGACGTAAAGATAAAATATTATTAATATTCAGAACTACTTATACTGTTGCTATGAAAAATTATTTTATAATTAATAGATGAGCGCCTTGTCAAATCTTTATAACAAAATTACCTTTATTTATTAAAATATGAACTAATTATATCCAACGTTCTAAGCGTTGGAAGGGGAAAGGGGATAACAAATGTATTTGTTAAAATATCCTAAATACATTACAATCACACATAATACTCTAATTAGCAAAGCAGTTTGAAAAAATCATTTTTATTTACATTTGATTTGTACAAAATTGCACCATTATTCATTGAAGATTCATAGGCTTTAGATTCTTAATTTAAAAAAAAATACTTTTCATATTCACTGCTTATATTTTTATGCCGTTTAGAAATATGTTGTAATAAAAAAGCATAAAAAGTGATTACGACAATGTAAAAGACACTCCAATAAGGTTTAAAGCAGACTAGATTGTAATCTCATTTCATGGCATATATATTGTGGAGGGAGTAAAAATAAAAAGCAGTAATTGCTAATCTTAAAAGTGGGTTTTTAAATTTCTTGTCAAAATATGGATTTTACAAAAAAAAAAGTTTCATTACAGTGAAGAAAATGTTGCTAAATCAAATACAAAAAGATACAAATAATTAAACAGCTTAACAGCTATTAATTAATTTTTTTTTATTATTAGTCATTTTGTTTGACATACCTTAAAATAAAAAATCTTGTTTAATTATAGAGGCAAAACCTTTTCTCATGTAAAAAAAAAATTTTCATTCACCAAAGAAAAATAACCATTCTACCAAAAGGTAAATAAAATGAAAAGATGTAAAATCTGACTAATAATAGAAAAGGGTTGAATGGTGACGCAAGTGGAACACAACACAAGATATTCATACCATATTATCTGTAACATTATTGTACAATATTACCTGTAATATTATTGTACCATAATATTTGTATTACAGATAATACAATTTTTTAAAACACTACACATGAACTGAAGAGTAGTCACATTCAGAGTCGCTGATAGTCTAATGAGTTAGTCCCTAGTTAAGAATAGCGAAGAAGAACTTCTCCACAATGTGCACACATTTTTCTGGAATGAATGGACGGCAGCGGGCCATGATCTGTGGACACAACAACAAAAGAAAAGTGTTAAAAGTTATTCCAGCAAGCTGTTATCAACATCTTGTTGGTAAAGTTAAAATAAAGCGGGAGTGATCTCGCCTAATCTTTCTGGAATATTCTTATATAACATTACGGGGATGGCAACTCAGGATATAGACATGATTTTAAATCAATTTTTACATACATGAACTTTTTAAAATTGAATAGAATCTCGTAGAAAAAAAGAGTTGCACACCAAGTGAACAGCAAACAATGTGTATATAATAGTGCGGAGCATTAGTAATTTATAAATTCATATGCATTTTTTAAAAATCAAAAATTATCATAAAGTAATAATTCTTGTCACTAGATTATTACTCAGTTTGAAAGAAAACAATAGGATCTTTTACTTGTATGTGAAATCTCGTCTATCTATCAAAAACAGTACTCAAGTTATAGGCTTTTGAAAAACCAAAAGTAGAAAAAGTTCCACTTCCGGCTAGCAGAAATCACTGAAAAGTTGATATAGAACTTATATATGAAATTTCATCAACCAAGCTGTAACGGTACTCCAGTTATTGTGTTTACAGAAACACATCTACACAAATAATATTGTAAAACTAACTTTTTTCCAACTTGATGACAATAACATGCAAAATGTCAAAATTTTGATAAATCTGGATTTTGAATTTTTGCCTGATTAAAATAAGTACCCTTTACTCCATAAATGATGAAGTACTGAAATGTAAAACAGTGAAAACTGTCAAAATTTGATGTGATTTTTGTGCACGATTACACTACTTCTTTTATACTTTGTAAATGACAAAGTAAAAAAAGCGAATTTCCTTAACCAATGCAGACAATGAGGTTGATGACGTAAAGTTATCTGTGACTTTGGTATTAGAAAGACCAGTTTTGTAAGCACTATGACCAGCCATCTCAAGGGAACACAAATGTCAAGAGAACACAAGACGGGGAAATAACTCTAGTATTTGGGTTAAACAAAAGAATGCTGTAGCCAAGGGACATAATTGAGGAAAAAAATTAAAACTCAATACACTGTGACAGCTAAGCAAAAAATTATACCATGCATGTAAAAATTTAACAAACTGTGCTGTATAAAAGTAATAAAAAATAATGATTTTATTTTGTTGATATGGTACACAAAAAGTTACCTAAAAATTCAACATATTCAAAAACATAACTTTATTTTTTAAATATATAAAAAATAATAATTTCCTAATGTGTTGTCAATTGGGCTGATATATTTTATCCTCTTTTTTTCTGCTTAAAATAAATCTCATTTGCTGATGAATTATAAGTTCAGTACTAGATCTATATTTATTATTGTAAACTTAATTCCCATTGATAAAAAAAAATTGTTTGAGGGATGGGCGGCCTAGTGGTAGAGCAGGGGTCGGCAACCTGCGGCTCGCGAGCCGCATGCGGCTCTTTTGATGTGAAGATGCGGCTCTTCAGCTCGATGCACAAATATAAATACTTATTTTATTTTTAAAGCTCATAAAAGTATTTGTCTGCGACACTCAGAAATGAACGATATAATAATAAATATAAACAGTAAACACTCGCTATTCTATTAGAATATTTAGTGACTCGATATTTCAATTTAGACCTTTTACCTTGTTTCCTAAAACTGAATTATTTAAATATAAAGAATGCCTGTGTTTGGATCATATTTATCGGGGCACTAGCGCCCACCACCATGGCGTGCTGTGTGAAAGCCTTGAGTGTAAGTTAATCACTCACCGTAATATCACCGTTAATCACTCACCGACGGTAAGTGGCGCTCTCGTGAATCCGATAACACTACCGCCGGGGCATCGCGTAGCCCCTAGCTCGGTTTAATTATCCAATGTCGTATTGTAGGGTGCTCCTTAAAACTAAGGTAGGCGCTTAGTGCTCACGGGATAGCCCTGGGCTCCAAATCGCACCCTGCAGTGACGCCGGAGGACGCGCCTAATTCAATTTAGTGAGCGACTATAACAACCTATTGTACCCATAGCCTATCGCGCTGTTTAAAATGAACGTATTGTCGCTCATTGTGTCTATAGTGTACAGCCTTTAAAAAAAACAATGTAGGCGCTATAGTGCTCGCAGGGTCGCCCAATGGACGAGGCGCTGGCGGTTGCGTCTGTTGCAGTTTTGCCGCTGAATATAGCAGTACCCCTTGCCCGCTATGCAGAACGCCCGATTAACGGATGCCAAGTACTAATATAGCCGCTCTGGGACTCTGGGGGCCAAAACGTGTATTGACAAAAAATGCACCACCCGGGCGCCACCCATAAGAAACTTTAATTTTTTTTTTCGCAGCAATCTTCTCGGGAGTATTTTTATCTACTCTACAAAGTTTCATGGCACTCGGATAAACTGTGTCGAACCGCATACAACTTTTTTTTTAACCACATATAGAGAAAAATCGCACCTCTCCCCCCCCCCCCCATGGGAGTATTCTCAACAATTTTTCCAAGTTTAATGGCGATCGGATGAAAGGTGTAGTAATGCATAAAAGAAAAACAGACACACAAACACACATACATTGTTTTATGTATATATATATATATATATATATATATATATATATATATATATATATATATATATATATATATATATATATATTTCAAATCCTAATTAAAGATCATAATATTAATAATAATAGTATAAAAATGTTGGCGGCTCTTAAGAAAATTGGCAATTAAGTAAATTGTAACTTTTGGCTCTTCTGTCTCAAAAGGTTGCCGACCCCTGTGGTAGAGAGCTAGACTGCTAACCTGTAAATCTCGAGTTCGAATCTGGGTTCAAGCCAGTATACTGTCCTTGAATCCTCCCAGCTCTGATAGGTATGTAACTCACGTTAGTGAAAGTAAAAGCGGCTGGGCATAGTGCTGACCACACTGTCCCTAAACATGCCGAGGTCACAGAAACAGGTGAACTCCACTTCACTTGCTACATAGGCCGTTAGGTTCGGAAGGGGAAATTTACTATACTTTATCTCCCTCAAGATTTTAAAATACCAAGTGTACTCAAAATACAACAATTTTAATTTTTTTATACCAATAATAGAATCAAATTAAGTACCATTAGTCCTACGACGTTTGGGACTAAGTGTCAAGGTCTCCTATACAAATAACAAACTGTACACTTTTTAACTTAGGATATACCTTTCCTTTATCTCATCTACATTTTGTAGTCGATCACCGTAATCATTGATTACTATTTTATATAACTTAACCATAACGGTAGTAACTTTTCTAATCTATTTATTAATTTTTAAGCAATTTTATAAAAAAATATTGATATGTGGTTTGAAAAATACTAGCTGGCAAATGCAGGAACAAGAAGTGGATGACTTGGTTACTAGCCCTATTAGGTTAATAAAAAACCAATATTATATTTTTTTACTTCCCAAATTTATTGCAACTAGTTATCAGCCTATACCCCCTCAACCCACCCCACGGGAAAAAAAAACTTCCTATTTTTTATTTTTTTTTTGTTAAATATTAATATTTTTTTCTATAATCCCAAAATTTATTTCAGCTCCACTTATTACCCCATACCCCATCAACTCACCCCACAGAAAAGAGAAAAGAAGGGAAGCGAAAAAAAATACCCACATCGTTGAACTGTCATTTAATTTCACATGTGCATTTATACTTTCTTGTATAAAGAGTATAGAGGAAGTATTGTAATTGTGCACAAAAATAACAAAATTGTCAGTTTTCATCGTTTTACATCTCAGTACTTCATCATATTCTAAGTATAGGGGACTTATTTTAATCGGGCAAAAATAATAAATCTAGATTTATCAAAATTTAGGTGTTTTAGGTTGATACAATTTCATATAAAAATTATATCAAATTTGTAGTAATGTATAAACTTTTCAGCAATTTCCAGTAACCAGAAGTGGGATTTATTCTTCTTTCAATTATTCAAAAGCCTATAACTTGAGTACTATTTAAGATAGATAATTGAAATTTCGCATGTAAGTAAAAAATCTATTTCCCCGCCTTCTTTCTAATTTTGAGTAGTTTCTGATGCACGGAAGTAGTAATTTACGCTATTTCCGATTTCTTATGACGATTATATAACGATTATACACATTTTGTTTGACGTCACTTGGTGCGCAATTCTTTTTTCTACGAGATTCTATTCTTTTTTAAAAGTTTAAATAAATAAAAATGGAGTAATAAAAGCTCAAAAAAAATCACGTTTATATCCCGAGTTGTCATCCCCAATAGTGTTATATAAGAATATTCAAGAAAGTTTAGGGGAGATCACTCCCAGTTTAGTAGGATTAAAAATTAAAATTGTAACTAGACTTTCTGTATTATTTATAAGTAAACCATCTTAAATGAATGAAAGTACATATCAGAAAGAGGGTATTACTATTATAAATCTGTATCAGTCCTCATAAGCCAATGATGAAAACTAATGCTAAAGCTAACATGGCAAGGTAAACTGACGCTGTAGATTACATACCTGAGGCAAAAAAAAGTCTACCTGACTTAAATAATAGACTAGGCAACTTCTTTAACAAGAAACTTACAATCAATGGATCCAAGCACTTCCTTTTAAGCCCATGCACCATATAGCACCGCAGTGGGTCAGCGTTGTGGACAGCATCCACATAAGCATTGACCACTGGCTCAGAACTACAGCAGGACCTCTCAATGGCCGCCTGCACTTTGTCCTTCATCCCTACAATGTTCTCCTTCCTGTAGGCGTTCTGTTGGTCCTGTAGGGACAAGGCTGAATGGGACTGGAGGAGTTTTTCTATCATGGAGTCATTCTGTCAAAGAAATAACAAAATAAAATGAAGGGAGATAACTAACTAACAAGCAAACTAGAAATATTTATTTCAATGGGACTGGAGTAGCTTATCTACCATGGAGTCATTCTGTGAAAGAAATAACAAAATAAAACAAGACAAAAATATAAAAGGAGATAACTAACAAAACAAGCAAACTAGAAATATTCATATAAATATCTATCTATGTATGTTAGAGGAGAGAAATCTTGGTTGTAATGTAATGTTTATAAGAAAATTCAGATTTGTGTTGATTGCTCAAAGTGCAATATAAATAGCAGAGTAGACAGCCAGTAAGTGAGTTAGGGCTGACTGGCGCAGAGATCTGGAGGTGCCAGTAAAGATGAAATATGGGCAGTTGGGGGGCTTTGAAATAAAGAGATAACATACATAGTTAATGTAACTGTTTAACCCTGAAAGCGCACAAAGCACAAAGCCTGGCTTTGCTGTTACATAACTTATAACACGTAATGCCATGGTGCGTGCTTTAAGGGTCAATGTAGTCACAGTAAAAAAAAAATATAGTGATGTGTAAATACAACTTGAAAAGGTAACGATATGCACTTTCTAAAGCAATCTTTTATTATTTAATAATTTTTTTTTAAATATCTAGTTAAGTCAAGGTTTATGCCACATTGCACTATCATCAGATCTAGACCTATTTGTCAAGTTTGTAATACATCTGGTAAAATTGGGTGAAATTTTACTAAAAAGATTTGTCCCATAAAGACAAAAGCATGAGAAATCAAGTTAAATAAATGCATTTAAAAACAAAGACAACCCCACCACCAAACCCAAACCAAAATAAAGACAACTCACAATGTTTTGTTTGGCCACACTTGTTGCCCCAGCAAACTCCCCAGGTGCCACCGTGATGACCTTAACATTCAATGGGTCCATCTCCTTACGCAGGCAGGCAGAGAAAGCCTCCAGGCCAAACTTGGTGGTGCAGTACGGGGACCTGTCCTTCTGGGGGTTGAACCCAGCCTCACTGGTCACGTTGATGATTCGACCTGAGGTAGTTGGTACTTGACATTAAGCCACATATCAGACATACATACAGCTAGTTTTCATTATAGACCTAATGCTAAGTGAACCCAACCTCATCCTAAACCTGTTCTTAAATAGGTGTTGTAATCATATGTATATCAAAATTTTACAGTTAAAACAAGAAAATTAACACAAACTTATTCATAACTGAATACATATCTATTTAAGATTTACAGAAACTTTTTATAGAAGATTCTTCTACAATGACGAATATCAAATTTGTTGGAAAAAATAAGAGTGATTTACAAATTAATATTCTATGTTCAAATTAAAATTTATTTAAAAAAAAAATCCTTATCTGATTACAAAATAATTTACTAATGGCGATACAATAAAGATTTATTGTGATCTATTTGAAAAGAGTGAGGCTAAATCATATTCAGTAAGGAGTGTACTTAATTATATTAGGCCAGTTAAGTACTGTAGATTTTCAAGAATTAAAAATACTAACGAAAACTAAGAGTAAAATATATGTTTATAGAATGAAATAAAACCATGAAACTTTAAAATTCAGTTCTTCCATAACTGTAAGTAAAACATAAATTTAAGATAACGTTATGAAACAAACAATGCCGCTGATCTAGCTATGCAGGGGACATAACCTGATGTTAAGTTACCTTCAGCTTGTCGAATCAGAGGCAGCACTGACTTGATGACCCTGATAGCACCAAACAGATTGACCTCGGCACACCTGTGGAACATCTCCATGGTTACCAGTTCTGCTGGGCCAAAACAGTTGATCCCTGCATTATTGATCACAGCCCAGATGCCTGTAGTAGTTAAAAGTAAAACAAGTAATTAAAAAAAGTCTAGTGACAATTTTAGCGCAATTTCCTTATGTTATCTAAAAATAGCTCTGTCGTAGCGTAAATCAAGAGCAGGGTTAGTAAAACCATTGGTTAGTTATTAAAACGTTTTTTATTAATTTTTTTTTCAGTATTTTACATGTTTTATTTACAATAGAGTAACATGACTAAAAACCATTGCGCGCCTAGCTACCGAACGTGATGTCGCAGCCACTGAACGTGACGGCGCAGCTATTGAACGTGATGACGCGTGTGGTGTGGTTGGATAAAATGCCTACTAATTCGGTCCAAATTTTAATTAATTCAAAAAACATTTTGTGACCGAACGAAAGGATATTTTTGAAAACTTTCTTCAGCAATATTGTCTGGTTGCCGAGATATGGGCCAAAAACTGCATTTTTTCGAGGTTTTTTGGCTTTTCCGGGAAATCCATAAAAGAAACCCGGAATTTTTTTGGCCTATGTTCATCCTGGTAACTTGCTTAACATATTTGCTTTTGGAACTAGTACTCGAAATTGCTTCGTTGAGGAGGAGATACGACTTAAAGCTGCGGACACACATCCATTCCCAGAAAAGACGAGTTAATAAACGCAATTCTCCAGAATGGAAATTGCGCTAAAAATTAATGAATCTAGTTAGAAAAGCAGGCATGTTTGCTATTTTAGTATATTCATACTGATTGTTAATATTTTGATTGATGCTGGCTAATTGAGCTCATATTTGGCTTCTTTTTGGTTAATGCTTATTCTTAGTGGCATTGGAGAAGGGTGAAATACAATTGATAAATTGATAAATTAAAACAACATGGTTCTTGTTTGAAAACTTAATAAAAGTAAATCTCAGCTACTCTTCAAGCGGGCAGGTATAAAGTTAATTATTTTTTTAACCTCAACATCTGAAAAGGGTGTTGCTATTAGCACAAAGCCCTGTCGCTTTTCTTTACTCCTATACAAGTCAAGTATATATTAGAGCTGTTTTGACACCTACAGACTATATCACAGGAACTGAACTTTAGACTTACTGGTTAGTAATTATGTGCTTTACCACTAGACCAAGACATTATTAGGGTCTTAATTCTAGCCCCTTATTGTACGCTATATACTGACTAATTAGTTCCATAACACCAGGGGTTTTGTGCAAGAAATGATCGTGTATTGTAACTTACTAGTTAAGTCTAGTGACTGATTATTTAAAACAGGGACAATATATTACTACTGGCTGATTAACTAAAAAAAAAACACCACAGACCTCGCTACTAGCTTACTGATTAATTGAATATGTATTTTTAAAAGGGGCGCTAACACTCATACTAAATTACTGGAAATGGATAAGTTATTTTTAATATAATAAGGGACAACAACTCATTCATTAAAAAATGGTGGCTGATTAACTGTTAAGTTTTAAAAAAGTATCACTAACCCACTAACAGATTATTATTAGTGACGTTGTTTTTTAAAAAGGGCAATAAACTTAACCCTGACAGTATATTCCTAGTTACTAAACAAACTAGGTTTTTTTTTAAAAGCACACTAACAATGACTTGTATTTTAATTGTATTTTTGAAAGGGGCATCTGCCCTTATCCTGACAGTTTACTACTACTTCATAAAATAAATTTTATAAAGGGCACTAACCCTGATCCTGACAGATGTGTTTGACCTCTTCAGCACAGGCCAGGACGCTTGCCTCGTTGGACACGTCCAGTATGACCACCTCAATTTTCTTGACCCACGGCCTGGCCCTGAGTTCCACAGCCCCAGGGCTGCTGTCATAGAAACAGCCAGCTATAACGTTAAGGCCAATCTCTCTCAAGGCTTTGGCAGCCTCTAGCCCAAAACCTGGTGATGGAAACAGATACATGGATTGGAATAAAGATCAAATTTAAAATGAAAAGATTTAGACAATGAGAGGGAACAAGTAGTTGAAGGCAGACTGCTAATCCAAAAGTCTCGAGTTCGAATCCCTGTTCAAGTACGTATAAAGTCCCTGAGTCCACCGAGCTCTAATGGGTACCAAACTCACATTAGGGAATGTAAAGGTGGCTGGACATAACGCTAACCACATTATCCCTTCATATGCTGAGGTCAAGAAACATTATAAACTACTTAATCTGCCCAATGGATCACTAAAGACGAATCTTACTTACAAAGACAATGAGCTATATTTTATTATTACAACAAATAGTGATATTAAAAAAAATTAATCTGGTTTCAAATTTTCATTTATAATTTTAAAATGAAACTTAAAAAAAACTGAAGCAAACAATAAAGTTTACCTGACACAAAGTAGGCCAGCTTATCTAAAGCTATGACCTAATAACATGTTAGTTAAAATTTCTAGTTCAGTGTCTATAGAACTTAAAAGATAAGAAACAAATGCATATATTATCAGCATAATTAACCTATTAAAAACTGAACAATTTAAAAAGACAATGAGACATTGTAGTCAGTTCTATACCCAGCCAATTTTACTTAATCTAGCATGAGTCAGGTAACCTCCCAGCATTGGGTGGATTAGTGACATCTTACATACTATGATACTTGAGCCCAGGATCTGAACTCCAAACATTCTGGTTACCAGCCCGGAGATCTACCACAGTGCTAATATATGCACTAGTCTAATAACATAGCCATGGGACAGAGTGGCCTAGAGGTGGAGCACTAGACTGCTAACCCAATAGTTTCGAGTTCAAATCCGGGTTCAAGTTAGTAGAACTTCCCTGAGTCTACCCAACACTGATGGGTACCTAACTCACCTTAGGGAAAGTAAAGGCAGCTGGGCATAGTGCTGACCACATTATCCTTTTATATGCTGTGGTCAAGAAACATATGAACTCCACTTCATCTGTCCCATGGATTGTTAGGTCTAAAGAGGGATCTTTATTACTTACTTTACTAATAATTTAGCCATAACAACATATTCATTCAGCACATATTGCTGAACATATTGCCATAGGCTAACACAACAGTAACCAAGAAAAAAATTACCTAAATCACATCCTGCTATGTAAACATATCACTCTACCACATTGCTAATATCAGCACTAGTCTAATAATTTAGCTATACGAACATATTCATTCAGCACATATTGCCGAAAATATTGCCATAGGCTAACACAACAGTAAAGTAATCAAGAAAAAATTACCTGAATCACATCCTGTAATGTAAACATATCACTCTACCGCAGTGCTAATATAAACACTAGTCTAATAATTAAGCCATAACAACATATTCATTCAGCACTTATTGCTGAACATATTGCCATAGGCTAACACAACAGTATGGGACGGAGTGGTCTAGCGGTAGGGAGCTGGACTGCTAACCTGTAAGTCTCGAGTTCGAATCCGGGTTCAAGTCAGTAGACCGTCCCTGAGTCCACTCAACTCTGATGGGTACCTAACTCACGTTAGGGAAAGTAAAGGCGGCTGGGCATTTGCTGACCACACTATATCTTCATATGCCGAGGTCACAGAAACAAGTGAACTTCACTTGTCCCATAGACCGTCAGGTTTGAAAGGGAAACTTAACACAATAGTTATCAAGAAAAAATTACCTGAATCACATCCTGTTATGTAAACATATCACTCTACCACAGTGCTAATATAAGCACTAGTCTAATAATTTAGCCATACCAACATATTCATTAAGCACAGATTGCTGAACATATTGCCATAGGCTAACACAACAGTAATCACAACAAAATTACCTGAATCACATCCTGTTATGTAGACATACTTCCCAGAGGGATCCACATACTCCTTGGTATAATTTTTAATCAGGTCATGAATGAGCCACAGGGTAAGCAGCAGCACCAGAAGAACAAGGATGTCATAGAGGTAGCTGTAAACAACAAAGGCTAGCACGGTGTACAGGGACACTAACAACAGCATGCGCTGCTTCTTCAGGTCAAGGCTGTCCTCCAGGACCATGATCTGGTCAAGAGAAAAAAAAATGTAAAATTGAAACATGTCGGCATGGTTGAGTCGGTAAAGCTCATGGTTGCTGAGCTGAAAAGTCTCGAGTTCGAACCCTCGGGCAGATGAGGCTCGTTAGCTGGGGACAGCCACTCTTCTAGGAGAGACAACGCCAAAATCAATCAACTGCTGCCTTGTAGTTTGTTCTTGGTTGGACAAAGGCTATGGAAGCAAATCCAAAAAGAAAAGCAGGCTGAAATTGGAGTCAATGGCCTAAATGGCGCATAACAAGTCGACACGTATATTTAATTGTGTTGATGGCGGGGTCGAGTCGGCAAAGCTCTTGGTTGTTAAAATTCAAAAAAAAAATTCTCAAGTTCAAACCCTCTGAGAGATAAGGCTCGATCCCTTCCAACACTAAAAATTAAGAACGAAGAAGAAGAAGAAGAAGAGAAACATGTTAAAAAATACTACTCTTTAAAAAATGTATCAAAAGTATGTCTTAAATTTCAGTATTTATAATTTCGAAGCGCAATGCTGTCTGAAAATAACATGTTTTTCATTAAGGCTCATTAATGTACTAATGTCTGATAATTATAAAAAAATAATTAAAAAATTGAAACATCATTTATATTGTGTTTGCCTGTTTCAACATGTTTAATATAATTTAATTTATAATTATATGTTGTTGGAAGCCCTAGTATTGTAATATCAGAATTAGTGGCATGGTCAGAAATTAGGGTTAGCGCGTTACGGCTCTGGTAGAACTTGGATTAATGATAAGGTTAGAATTGCCATTAGCAAGACATATTTGTATTTAGTTAAAAACAAGGAATATTCTAATACTCATTTTTAAAGAAGATTCTAATATTGTGGCAATATCAGACTGGTATAACAAATACCATGATTATTACCAGATTCTAGATTTAGATATCTCTTTCTTCAGGCTAAGACTTTTCAAGCCAAGATATTTAAAGTTAATTCAAACTTTTACTTTTGTGAAGCACCCTATTAGCCACAAATGATCAAATTCTTAACTGAGTCTACTGTAATTTTATTTTCTAGTTCTAAATCACAAGATTATCTAATTCACTTTAAGTATTAGGCTAGAATAGTAGCATATGGCTAGAGAAATAATTAATAATTAGTTTCAAGTGTCTGTAACCAGTTAGTTAGTCTAAGCCTCATAGTTATCTAGCCTCATAGATCTAGTCTTACTCTTGATAAAAAATAATATTGTCCCACCACTCATTCATTAACTTCAAAAGTATCATAAGGAGCACTACATCATGTACTAAAGTAACTATAAACTACAGATTAAGAATTCTAGAGTCTAGGCCTAATTAATAATGAAATTAGTAGGAAGGCCTATAGAATTTTAATTTAGAATATATTGAATTATTCTAGATCTTGAATCGATTAAATTATAGATTGGAAAATCTATCGCTTTAGGTACGTAAGTAAAATCGGACGAGGCTAGTAATGTGAAAAGGAAGATTTATGTTTTGAAAGCTACAAAAATGTTTCAAAGTTTCATTCATGTACCTGTTTTTAAACAATTGTTTTAAACTTTTCAGTAATAAATAAAGACGAGCTATGTTTTCATCAGAACAGACAAAGCTCGTTTTCTCCAGAAGCCATCTTGTTTAAGTTTTTTTGGTAAATGTATAACGGGAGATTCAGGGGAAGCCACTCTATTTTACAAATGGCTGCTGTTTATACTTATACTTAGGCCTATAGAAAATATTGCTCGCAAACACTGCTGTTAAAAGTTAATGTCAGGCCTTTATTGATATATCTAATCTAGCCATTGATTTTAGTTTATTAGGCCTATTCAATTATCTATAATATTTGACACAAATATAGTACAATATACCTCTATTTTAATTTAAAGCCTTAACATTGAGTGTCATGCAATGAGGCAACTTTGTCGCACATTACTAGCCTCGGCCGATTTTACGTAGTCGTAGGCTACCTAAAGCCTAAAACGATAGATTACCATAGATTTTTAGTGGACTATAGGCAGTATAGGTCTAACTAATAACTTACTAGTGTCTAGATCTACACTGACACTCAGTAACTGAGTCAGTAGTACTGTGTAGTAGTGTACACACCTTCGGCTTCTCTGTTCTGTACTACAAGACTACTAGTCTACTCACTAGTCACTGACTCACTACTACTAGATTAGCTGTAGCTGAGTGTAGCTAGTGTATCGTTTAAGTCGTTTAACTAAGTTTAAAGTTTAAAGTTAGTTGTTATTTATTTATTTATTATTAAATATAGATCTAGATCTAGATCTACATATATTGTGTTAATTATAATAAATCAATAATAATATTATGAATCAGTATGAAAATTAGATTTAAATTTAGCAAGGGTACTACTAGACTAGTGTCATAAAGAAGGCCTATTTTGATTTTTCGATTTAGATCTAGATCTAGATTTCTAGATCTAGTCATCAGGTCAAAGGTTGTATATAATTTGAGTTCAGCTCTTCTGTTTTTGAAGCTACAATCTGTGCATACGATACTTAATTTTATTTTACTTTTCATACAAAAGAGAATGATTTTCTTCGAAATCTATATACTACTAAAAGTCAAGTTTGTTTACATGTTTGAATATTTATTTGTTTGCCTGATCGACTATTGTGATATGTTCGACTCTATCTGGAAAGCTGTAAAATAGTATGCAGGTAGAGAATAATTTTTTAATGCAGACAGACTGTTGATCACAAATTTATTTAAAGACGTTAATTAATTTATTGATTTATTCATAGTTAAATTAACCGTATTTTTTTAAAAATGTTAATACTTTGAATAAACTTTGTGGGGATAGTGACGTCCCTTGATGTGTTTACATTTTTGGTACAATAAAAATGGCGGACCCCATCATAGACTTTGTGGCCCATTCAAAAGTTTAACGCGTTACAAAGCTAATTTTCTGCCGGCTATAACTTAAACAATACGTCCTTTTGCTGTATTTATTACGTTCCAACACTTATATCAATTTTCAACTGTCTTTTTCATTTAGTTTTACGATAAATTTCTCTAGATCTAAAGATCAGCTATCGAAGGAAATTTATGAATCTAGCCTAGATCTAGATCTAGCCTAGATGTAGGTCACTAGATTCAATGTAAATTCTACATCTAGAATCTATTTCAGGCCTTAATTATTTTATATAAATCTTTGTTTGGCTTATTTAAGATAAAATTTAATTTGAAAGTTAGTACTACTAGACTTATTTTTAGATCTAGATCTAGAATCTATACGCGTAAATCAAGTTGCATAAGGAGACACATAGTATAGTATAAAAATTCACTTGTGACGTCACGAGTAAATAGCTAAAATGGTAGCGTAGTCAGCTCTCATGCAGGAGGCACGGGTTCTAGACCAATATGTCAATGAAATTTTTTTTTTCAATTTTTTTTTTAGATGTGAATGATAACGTTGCCTATCTGAATGTGGCAAGATACAGGGCAGGTGAAGTAGAGTTCATCTGTTTCTTTGTCCTAAGCATATGAAAGGATAGTGTGGTCAGATACATGCTCGGCTGGAATTGTTTTTTAAACGATAAAAACATGTTGTCTGAGACTTGGCAGGACACTGGGCAGGTGAAGTAGAGTTGAGTAGGTCACCTGTGACGTCAGTTTATGAAGGGATAGTCCGAAATCGGTGTTTTCGGTGTTTTTAAAAGATAAAAAACATATATTTGAATGTGGGTGTGATGGGGGGTTTCATATATGTTATATAATTATATCTTCTCGATATCTTTTCTATATTCTGATCTGCTACTATTCATACGACAACTATTATACTTGTGAGTAGGACGGGAATCACTCTTATGTTCCGCAGACACTAATTAACAAAAGTCAACCATTTCGTTTATGAAAAGAACACTAACTTTATTAATACACACTTATTTGCACAATATCAAAGAATACCTCCGTCTCCTACCATTACTAACCCCCAACTCACGTTACTGCCGCGGTCTACGTCATTGGTACATTGTCGTGTCATGCTCACGTCACATTCGCGCCACAAATATTGTATTCAACATGCGCACAATACTCTTGCACCAAATCGTCTACAGTCAAGTTCGCACCGTCCTTTGTAACCTCTACTAGTCGTCTAATTCTTTATATCTACGCTATGACATCTCCTCCCCCCCTACAATTAAAAAAAACTAATACTATTAGTTTTTTTTTCTGTCTTCTTAGTCAATCATCGTATAAATACATAGTCATAGCGTCATCAATGACTGAATTACATTAGTATTTCAATAACAACAATTCCAGCATTAACATTTTCAAAAAAACAAACGACAACAATGTCATGCCGCATCTTGAACTGCCAGTAGAGAACTTTATCATCTGTATTGAAAAATTTACAAAATAAACGTCAGTCAATTTATTCTTTATCTTCGGTAAAGACAGTTCCACAAACGTTTATCATCTGTGTAGACAAATTTACAAAATATACGTCACTCAATGAATCTTTATCTTCGGTAGAGACAGTTCCACAAAAGTTTATCATCTGTGTAGACAAATTTACAAAATATACGTCACTCAATGAATCTTTATCTTCGGTAGAGACAGTTCCACAAACGTTTATCATCTGTATAGACAGTTTTCCCTGTTATACTTGACGTCTAAATGTTCCCTTGAGCTTTATAAACACAAAACTTGGCAACACTGTGACTGAAAAACAAATATTTATAAGCTGAAGTTGCCGTTACGACTTGATCGAAAATTGACCGCGACCGTGCGTAAGGCTTTTGTTAGTTGGTTATGGTGACCCTTCTTGCCGTTACGACTTGGTCGGAAATTGACCGCGACCATGCGTAAGGCTTCAGTAATCTGGTTAGGATGACCCATCTCACATTAATTTGGTTCCTCTAGATGTTTTACTTGTCGTGATCCTGCGGACGTGTCCTTGACGATGTGTTTCATATGTTCACGTTCATGATGTACTCGTCGTTTGACCGCTGCATTTAAGCTGGGCATCAGTGCGTAGCATTCACGAAGATGACGTCAGATTCTGAGAAAATATGAGCGGACATGTCGTCTTAAACATATGCCAGCTAAGCGTTTTTGTGCCCGTCGGACAAATAACCTTCCTCTTTTAAAGAAAAACCCACCAAATTTTGATATGCTGGTTATTTGTCCACGACACACTACATAATAATAATAGTAACTACATTATTATAATTATCAACAAAATACCAACTACATTACTAAATCATTAACTACACACGACTAGCATTAAAATAGAAAGAGATCTACTACACACAAAGAAAAGACATGTGTGTTGTATTGCGTGTCACATATCTGTAGTGCAGGAGCAGCTCTCTGCCTGTGACTGTGTAAGCTATATTTAGTTTCTTGACAATATGTCAGCCAGTCGGTTCTGTTTTCCCGGGATGGGAACAACTGTGAAATGATAGTCCTGTTTTAACAAGGTTATCAATCTTGGAGAGATCTTCATCACTAATCACATCTGGTTTCTCCAACACAATCTTGTCATTATTATCTTCAGCTTTTTTATCTTCATCTGTCTCCTCAACAGGACATGTCATTTGTGTTAAATGCACCTCATTTCCATCTAAATCAACTTCATTCACAATGAAATCAGAGTACCTTTGGTTTATAACAGCACTAAAACCTTCATGTTCCCCAAGATATTCAGTAATTCCTGCTTGTATTTCATTAATAGGCACCTCTTTTTCGTGTATTTCGCTCTCTAAGTGGATACCATTTTTATTTTCAATACATTTTTCATTGTCTACAACTGTTGCAGGTAATTCAGCATCTTCTTCTTTGCAGGGTTTTTGTATGTTGTTACTTTCTTCTATAACTTTAGCAGCAGTTTGGGCCCTCGTTTCTACCAACTGAACTATTTCCGTTTGCAGCCACTTATCTATGTCACCTTGAGGTAGCGTCTGATTGTCAATCACATTGCCGATGATCAGGTCGTATGGTCCTTTATTAAAAACAACAGCGGCATATCTACCTGATATATATGGTGTGTGAACGTCTATCCGTACAGTAGGGTGAAGGGAAATTTTACCATCAAATCCCTGGACAGGTATATGTTTACCCGTATACTGGTTGGGATGTACCACACTGCTTTTGACGGCCAGTGTGCTGCAGCCTGTGTCCCTGATTGCGTTCACCACCTGTCCATTAACCCTACATTGGAAGCTCGGCAGTTTATGGTGTCCTATTGTTCTCATAAAATGAACATGCTCTGTTCTGTTGTAGTAGCGACCGTTCGCACTGTGTGCACGGAACTGATTATTATGTTGAAACGAGTTTGGTCTTCTGGCCTTCCTGCAGTCTTTTTTATAATGACCAAGGCCGTTGCAATAAAAACATCGTTTGTCCGACTGATGCATCTGTTGTTGTCTGTCGGGTTTGAACTGCATATGGTTCTTGTATTTACTTCTGTCCCTGCTTCCGTCGGCAACATGGGTCATGAATACTGAAGTTAATTCTGTCTCGTCGTACTTTTTACATACTGGATTTGTCGGGTGGGCCGCTATGAATTTCTGCGTCATTTCTGTGACAGTCTTTATATCTCTAGGTTTTCTTTCTTGTAAAAAGGAATATAAGTCACTGTGGACTGAATTTAATATTTTGTCGACCAGGACGAATTGGAATAGATCTTCATAAGTTTTGTTAATAGATGCTGCCTCAATCCATTTTTCCAGTGTAAGTTTTAAGTCATTAGTAAACACTTTGAAATCTTCATTTTTGTTAGGTTGAAGTTGGTGGAATTTTTGTCGGTAAGTTTCTTCTGTCAGGTGGTAGAATTCTAGTAGGGTCTTTTTCAATGTCTTGTAGTCTTTTATTTCCTCGTCAGTCAGGGTGTGGCAGGCGTCGAGTCCTCTTCCACCAACCAGGGTGAGCAGGTGTTGGCTCATCATATTGTCGGCTATGTTTTCTGACTTGGCGATCGTTTCGAACCGTCGAATAAAAGCATCTATGTCGTCTTTTTTGTCTTCAAATTTAGGCATTTTATATAGCATGCTTCTGGAAGAATTGGTTGTTGTTGGTGGTGCTTCAACCTGCTCTGCTTGTGTACTTTTTTTGTTGATTTCTAACCGTTTTAATTCAATTTCTTTCTCCATTTCTATTCTAGCCTTTTCTTTCTCAAGGTCTATTTTTGCCAATTCCAGTCTTGATTTTTCTTTTGTCCTTTCTTTGTCTTTTTCTAGCTCCAGTTTTCCACGTTCCATTTCAATTCTAATACACTTGTCTGCGTCTATTTGGGCCAACCGCTCTTTATCAGCCGTGATAGCTCTATATTTTTCTTCAACCCATGCCTCTAGCTCAGCACCACTTTTTTCAAGCGTCTTGCCTAGCTTATACAACTGAGCGAGGTCAGTCATGGTGTGTGAATTTTAATAATTTGAATGAACGCACACAAAATAATCGTACACACAAAAATAACTAAAGTGTTATACAAACAGCGATAAACGGCACAGATAACTGACGCGATAATCACAACAATAATACAGGACCTACGGTAACAATAGAAGGTAGAGAACGGCAGTACAAACAGGACTTCTACATCTAATAGTAATATGTACTTCTTAAAAGGCAGGCCTACACTCAGTGTGTCCTATCGTTAGGAAGCCTCAGCCAATTTAAGAATAACAAACACGAAGAAGAAAAACTGCTGAATAACCAGCACAGGATCCAAACAATCCCGGTTACTTAAAAAAAATCAGAGGAAGGTACTTATCTTGCTTCCCTGCGATGATCTAGTAGCACCTCTGGTCAACACGAATCCGCTTCAAACTTCACAACTTTTCACTCGAATCCTTTTTAAAACACCACTTGCGGAATTAAGGACCACTTGTGCTCCACCAATATGTGATGGGGGGTTTCATATATATTATATAATTATATCTTCTCGATATCTTTTCTATATTCTGATCTGCTACTATTCATACGACAACTATTATACTTGTGAGTAGGACGGGAATCACTCTTATGTTCCGCAGACACTAATTAACAAAAGTCAACCATTTCGTTTATGAAAAGAACACTAACTTTATTAATACACACTTATTTGCACAATATCAAAGAATACCTCCGTCTCCTACCATTACTAACCCCCAACTCACGTTACTGCCGCGGTCTACGTCATTGGTACATTGTCGTGTCATGCTCACGTCACATTCGCGCCACAAATATTGTATTCAACATGCGCACAATACTCTTGCACCAAATCGTCTACAGTCAAGTTCGCACCGTCCTTTGTAACCTCTACTAGTCGTCTAATTCTTTATATCTACGCTATGACAGTGGGGTCTGTTTTTTGTGACGATAAGTGACACTGCAGTAGCGTACCGAGGAGGGGGGGGGGACGGTAGGGGAGGGGAGGCGGGGGGGGGGGGGAAGGGGAGGCGGGGGTGGGGAGGTGGAGGGGGAAGGGGGGGGACATATGTTGGGGCGCCAAAATGGTTTGGAAAAATAAATTGATAGGTTGAGGGGGGTTCAAATCGAAAGTTTGAGTGGGGGGGGGGGGGGGGGGAATTGCACATCAAAAGTTTGAGGGGGGGGGGTTCAAATCGAAAACTTTGTCCCCGGGCGCCGGGAAGGGTCGCTATGCCTCTGAGTGACAGACGTGATGTTTTTTGATGGATGACCCCCGAAACCCACAGTTATCCAACGGATGACGGGTATTCTAGTATTTCCCTAAAAATTTAGCCTATTAATTTTATAATATAGATCTAGGATGATTAATTTAAATACGAATTTACATCCGCACCATTTCGTCGCAAGGCACTTTATTCTATATTTTAGGGCACTTGTTTTTTTCTGGGGGAGGGGGGGATGCGGACAACATTTTCGGGCAGTTTCTTTCAGGATGAGGCATCTCTTCCGCCCCCTCCCCGAACGAAATGGAATTTATATAGTTAAATATATACTTTTAACAGTGACCGCCCCCCCCCCCCCAAACCCCCAAAATTTTAGTCATCCCCCCCCCCCCGACAATTTTAAGTGCCCCCACCCCGGGGAGAAAAAAAGTCTGGAAGAAACACTGTTTTCGGGGGAGGGGGCGGTAGACTTTCTTCGCTTGGGCTCCGTGATAGTCCGGATAAGACTTAATAAGTACGGTGTATTAAATATAGAAAGCAGTGTTACAATTTTCTTAAAGCTATCCTTGAAGGACTGGATGATCGAGTAGGGCTTCCAGAAAAATTATCGGAGGACTCAACTATGACGTATGAAACCAGAAGTGGCGCAGAACAGCTACAGACGGGCGTATTGAATTTTAACGTCATAGTTTTATTACATTTCTGGAATGTCATTCTTAAAAACATTGATCAGGTACAGAAAATTGTTTTTAATATTTTACATACCTTATAGAACAAAACAAAGCTCAGCAAATAAATAATAGAACACACAATCAAAATAGATCCTTTAAAAAAAAACTCGCTGTTTCGTTCGTTGTCGGTGTAATCTAGACGCCAAAACCAAGGGGCGAAAAGTCCACCTCTACACGCAATACACTTTTAGCGCACTTCCTCCAGTTCTCTGAGTGTGGGGTGAAATATGACCTTTCGTGATCACGAGGCCGTGTACACTTAACTAAAATTGTGACAAGACTGGGTTAAGTAATTTCAACAGTGGTGAAAACGTAAATGGGTGTTGATATTGTTATAAAAGACTTCACTACTAGTTGTTTTTAGTTTCATTAAGTTTTGGTGACTCGATTACCTAGAAGTAACTTTGCTAGATTTTGCCTTATGCCTTATGTCAACCTGTCTAGGCATGGGGCGTGAAGTAACAACCTGAGTTTCTTCCAGGCATCTCTTGAAGAAAGTCAACACCCCCCCCCCCCCACCCCGAAAGAGATTGAATTTATATAGAAAACATATACTTTTACCAGTGTCCGCCGCCCCAAAAAATGTATAACACTCCCCTACCCCCAAAAATATCAAGTGCACACCTCCCGGAGAAAAATGTCTTGAAGAAACACTGGTAAAGACTTTGACCAAAACATATGTTTCAACTATATTTTAAAAATAAAAATGATTAAGTTTATTTTAGTTGCTCAGCTTGTTTGGTTTTTTTTAATTGTATGTGTTGCATCTTGTACAGTCTAATTAATATTGATTTATTCTAAAAGTGTCAAATATCACAAATAGACAAAATTGTGACTTTTAGCCACATGAATTATACAGTACGAGCCGAACTGCGGCGTATCATACGCCACTTTTAGTTCTTTTATTTTCTACTTTTCGGTAATTCATAATTTGTGAATTCGACAGTACCTATGCTGCCACTGGAAATATCTGCTTTAAAACACTATCAGTCAGTAGCTCGTTAAGGACGATAACCCCCCCCCCCCCACACACACACTCTATTTTCCCCCTACCCCTAAATTTAAAATCGTTTCAAACTAAATTATCTGCCCCTAATAGCCGTCACTAAACCCGGCTCTACGATTGAAAACATTTAGCGTTAACCACGGCTCACCAGACCATGTGGGGGTGGGGGTGGTAGGGATATGCCTAGAGAGGAAGATGGGGCTGCTAGGAGCGCTTACAGCTTGGTGTTTTCTATGGTCTCCAAGAAGAGAAATATATATATATATATATATATATATATATATATATATATATATATATATATATATATATATATATATATATATATATATATATATATATATATATATATAGATTAACTATTGCCTAACGCTATTATGTCTAGAACAATAGCTGCTACACTCTTGCACAAAACTATTTCAGGTCAAAGTTCAAACCGTGTGATTTTGTTAATATTATTCAAAAGCTTCTAGATCTAGATAAACTTTGGTGAATGAGAGTATGTGTGAGGTAGTGTGGGATGGAGAAGAAAGAGCTTTAAAGGATAGGGTGTTTCAATTGGATATGTGTATTCAAGAAACGTCAAACCGCATTTTAGAATCGCAAACTGTCCATATCGTGTCGGCCTTTTGGATGTCGAACTCTTGTCCTACACTTAAGAAAATGGGATACATCTTGGGACAGCTTGAGAGACAAAGATGCCTGGAAAGCTCTCATTTGCGGCCGCTGTCCCGAAAAGGATAACTGACCCAACCCAACCTCACCCAACCTAACCCATGTGATAACAAACACGGATATTTAAGCTGTAGCATGTTGTAAATCACCATGGTCGTTTTGCATCGATTCGTCTGGTAAACAACACTTTCGAGCCTGACGTGCCATGCAGTAGGTGAAGTAGAGTTCACCTGTTTCTGTGACCTCAGTATATTAAGTGATATTGAGGGCAACACTACGCACAAAAGCCATTACTTTTGCTAAAGAGAGTGGGGTACCCATCAGAGTTTTGTGAACTCTTGGGCGTCCAACGGACTCGAGCCTGGTATCCGAACTCGAGAGTAAGTAGTCGAACGCTCTACAGTTTAACCCAGTGGCGTAGCCAGGATCGTCTCAAGGGGTGGTTCCAATTTTTACCCGGGGACAAACTTTCTATTTGCACCCCCCTCAAACTTTCGATTTGCACCCCCCCCCCCAATCAAACTTTCTATTTTCACCCCCCCCCCTTATACTTTGTATATATACCGAGGGGTCTATGGGGGGGGGGGTTATAACCCACCCCTAACTCCCCCCTGCCTACGCCACTGGTTTAACCACACCGTCCCATGAGTAGATTTGTTTAATACCAAAACCAAAAATTGTCTTCCAAAGTTAATCATTGTAACAATGCATTTAAAAATCAGCGAGATGTTATACTAAATAAGATTATGTTTTAAGTAAATAACATTTTACGAATTCTTCATTTTAAAAAAAATATATAGATCTGTGTCTTTTTAAGAAAGATTCTTTGTAAAATTCGAAAATGAATCAATTCTGTTTATTAAAATAAAAGGGAAGTAGCCTTACTTTTTACTGTATTATTTGTTTCATTTTAAAGGTTCTCTCTCATTGTTTCACCAACATTCAAGAACTCCTACTTGGATGTATGGGTTATGTGAGTTGTGGTAAAAAGAGCAATGCAGACTTGTATCGTTCCTAAGCGGATCTTTGTATTGAATTTTTCTGTAATATATTAATACTTGCAACCAGTGTTTCTTCCAGACTTTTTTCTGTGGGGTGGGGGGGGGGGGGGCGGATACTGGTAAAACTATATATTTTCTATATAATAAATTTTGTTTGGGGGGAGGGAGTTAGACTTTCTTCGCCCCCCCCCCCCCCCGAAGAGATGCCTGGAAGAAACTGCTTGCAACGTAAACATGGATTCGCTTCAATCTCAAATCTCCTTTATCTTATTACACTACTTGTGTTGTCTTAAGTTTTTCCTTTCTTCTGTAAAATGATTATGGGATGGCTTGGCCAAGCAGTTAAAAACTAGACTGCTCACCCGAAAG